ACAGCAGCTTAGATCCAAAATGTGGTGGCACGCAGAAATGCACACTTCCCCATGTCATGATCTGTTCTGGATCCCCATGTCTGCATTTTTCAGGGAGTCTGGTGGGACTATAATTGGGAAGAGACAATTGGGGGGCGGCGGGGGAGTCCTGAGCCCTCTTCAAGCATTCTAAATATGAATTAAGCAAACATGCGACCTCTTTATTTTGGAGGGAATAGAGCCTCCTTTACTCATCAGAGGCTCCCTGTGCTTTTTAACATCTTGATTTCTGAATGGCTCTTCAAGTTTGGGAGGTTCCTTGCTTCAGAAGTTAGCCCTCCGAGGAGTTGGAAGGCAAAAAGAACAGTGACGTGGAGGAGAGCTAGCGTGATATCCACTGCCTCAATCTCACATGTTTACTTAAACAATATTTACAATTCCTGAGGAGGGATCTTGTTATGTTAGCAGAGCTCCATTTCATTCACGAAGCGGAAGTCAGGTCCGTAAGCCTTCTGGCTGAATTCAATTGAGCATGAAATGCCTCCCAACCTTTGAGTGGAGAAAGGGTTTCTCTCTCACTCCCTCCCACTTTGCTAAAAAGCCTTTCGTACCACACCCTCCAGTCATCCCAGCTCTTTGACTACTCTGAAAACATACCTGCAAAAAACCCACCTTGTCCCAAACATGTCCCAGGATACCGGTGACTACCTTGGAGGAGGAAGGTTTTTATTCGTTACTAGAAGCTTGGTGTTGCTTGGGAACTTGACGAAAGCAAAAAAAAACAAAAAACCCAGTGAAGTTTTGAAATCGCTGTTAACATCAGTGAAGTTTAGAAAGGTTCAGTCTGCCACCTTGATTCAAAATGGTGTTCAGTTGTATCAAAGCACACAAAAACCTGCTTCTTGATCTTAGGAACCATCATGTAAAATTTGTTCACAGTATCTTAAGAGGGATCCAAATGCGGAGTGAACCAAGTACTCTCCAAAACATTTGGCAGATTCAAAGTACACCTTTCGTTTAAATCTATCCTTTAGAAAACCTCAGACACTTCAATAAGGAAAGACAAAAAGACACCGGTGGGTATTTGTTTGACAAAGAGCTTGGAGATGGATGAATACAGTCAAGATGAAAGATACCAAAATGTCAGACAGCCTACCGACTGTTGTTGCCATGACATCCAACAGTCAACATCAGTCTGATAAGCTATCCAACAGAAAGGTACAAGGCCATGGAGGTATCACGACGGTAGGCAGACGAGCGGGAGTGATCACAACACAGGACACACATACACGAAGCACAATCCACACCTTGACAAAAACGGTTAAATGCAGATGTGCAAGAACGAGCTGGTATTCAAAGGTGATTGCACAGGTACGGCCTTTGTCCCAAAGAGAGCCAACTGAATTTAACCATAATAGGACGGTCACTCTGAAACCTAGCGATGACACCTTGAAAGGGGAAAACAGGTGTCCTGGCATGGTTTGAGAAATAACGTACAAGGTCTTCTATTTTGTCCCAGGAAACCCTCTTAATTGTTAAGGCAAACCAGTGATAGGCTTTTCTGTCTTATTCCACACCACAGGAATTCAGGAAGCTGCTTTCTACCGAGCTAGACCATCGGGTCCATTTAGCGTCGTATTGTCTACTGGTTCTCCAGCATTTTACATGGATATTTTCCTCCTGGAAATGCCAGGGATTGAACCCAGGGCCTTCTGCATGCCAAAAGCATGTTCTACCACGGAGCTATATGGTCCTTCCTCCAAGAGAAGAGAAAATGTGTGAATTAAGGGCCCTGGGGAAGCTTGAAAAATAAACGAAACTGAAGGCACACAGAACAATCAGAGGCCTGTCTCTGCCTTGCAATGTTGGGAAAGGGGAGGCACAGCATTATCTCTGCATGCAAGCCAAAATAGGGTGGGCAGTCATCTAGGGGGGGATACCTCTTTAAGGAGCCCCACCTGATATTTAGGGGAACTATCAATGTCTCCTGCTTTATAGGAAACTGAGGAAGCTGCCTTATATTGCCCAAAACCCTCGGCTCACCTAGCTTAGGACTGTCTAAAATGGGGACAGGAGACCTGTGGCCCTCCAGATTCTGCTGAACTAGCAACTCCCATCATTCCTGACCCTTGGGCCATGTTGGTTGGGGACGATGGGAGCTGGAGTCCAATAACTTATGGAGAGTCACAAGTTACCTCGTCCATGCAGATTGGCAGGAGCTCCCCGGGATATTCAGGCAAGGGCTTTTCCCAAGTGCTAGCTGGAGTGCCTACTTATGCAAAGGGAGCAGAGGCGATTTATTGGGTTGTGGCAAAAAGCGTTGCATTTTCTGCAGGTGTTAAAGCAAAACACAATATACACACTTGTAACTTCTGTTTAAGAAAAAGGCATTTAAAAAGATATTTGAATGGTTGTTTATTCCAGTCACCCTTCTTGCGCCTTGCAAGACACCTTCCTGTGCATTTCCTAACGATGCTATGCAAAACATCGCAAGTTAACCGTTTTTAAAAAAGAAACACAAACAAACCCAACACAACGGGCTACTTGTCAGTTAAATAAATAAAATTAACCAAACCGTGTCAAGGTCCCAACACTTTTCTAGTTCCTTGAGTGAGAAGTTCTTGAGGGAGGGGAGAAATCAAAGAACAAAGAGCTCCGGAGGATCAGAGAGACCCCGGAGGGAGATAAAAATTTGCAAAATAAAATGAAGGTGAAAACAGGAATACAAAAGGGTAAAGAGGAGGAGGAGGAGGAGGAGGAGGAGGAGGAAGAGCTTTAAAAGACCAAGACAAGAAGGTCTGGAATGATCCAAGGTGATTTTATATATATTTCTTCTGTTATCATCTTAACGTCATTCTAAATATACAGATTTTTTTTCTTTTTAATGGAAAAAAGAAAAGAGAACTCCAGCAGCAGATGGCACCAGTGTCTCTGCTCAGAACCATTATGAAGTTAAAAAAATCTGAGATTCCACCCACCCCACCCAACATGTAATGGAGAACCTTTGAAGAACCCAGATGTTAGCACGAGGGTCATGCAAGTCTGCTAGCCAATCTAAGACTATTTATTCAATGTTAAGACTGGGATGGACATGTGACCATCTCAGGGGAGAAGATGGAGCTACCAACTTTGGACTTTTTAATATTTTTTTAGAAAAAAACTTAGTGGCAAGCTGGCTCTATAAGTTACAGTCCGGAGTTGTGCTGCCTGTTAAAAAAAGAAAAATCTGTGATATTGGGCTGTATTCAAGTAAGTTTTACTCAGGTCCATTGAAGTTAATGGAGCCATGTTAATAAATTCAATGGGCTGTATTCAACCAAGTCCAAAGTCCTGGTCATTCATTTCACTGAGTCTGAGTAGGACTAGCATGGAATACCACCCAGTGGGTCTACTCTGAGTATGAATGTTGGATATAATCCACTGGAAATATAAATTTAAAATAGGAGGCAATGTTCTCCCCTTATATTCCAACTTGGATGAAATAAACAGAAGCATGTACATTACCTTTACAAATGGCAATCAATGAGAAATGTTTACTAATCGGCAGAGTTACTTTGAAAAATAATGATAATAAAAAACACCCCACAACCCTCTCACCCACCCTCCAATTTCAAATAATGCCGATTTTGATTTTTTTTTTTAATGTGAGGCTGGTCGTCCCAATTAAATTTGGGGTCTGTATCCCTCTTCCCCGGAGCTCATTTGGTTTTCTCCTCAGAGGACATCTGCTGGAGACGCTTAGCATAGCTCTGAGCCATCGAGTTTATAATGGACAGGATGAAATAGCACACCATAACGATAACCAACTTTTCAAACATCCACGACAGCCAGTTTTCGCTCTGCAGATGAAGAAAAAAGCAGAGAGAGAGAGGGGGGGGGAGAGAATCCAGGTTAGAAAGCACAGATAAAAAAATTCCCTTGGACTGACAGGGAATGGTTAACTCACCCACCCCCCCTTCCAAAAATGCCCACCTAGCTCACTTGAGGGCTCTCAAGATTCTGACTTCTCTGCCATAGAGCCCGAGAAGAGTTCTGGGGGATACTACATGCAGACACAGGCCAAATTTGCTGGGTCTTCTCTGTTGCCCCGGGGAAAATCCAGAATTGGCCCTATATAGCTCAGGGGCGGAGGACCTGTTTTGCCAGTGGAAGTTTCAAATTCTCTGCATCTCCGGTCAAAAGGGCTCAGGGAAGGAGGGCAAGTCACTGCCAGGTAGGGTAGTTAAAAAGCCTGACCTGGTCTAAGGCTGCTTCCTAAGTTCCCTACAAGACTTGAGTCCCACACTGCAGGGGTAGATCAGCAAAAGTAGTGAGTCCTTCAGGGGAAGCTAACTGAAGAAGGCCCAAAGAGCTTCTGAGGAAGGGCTGCAGGTAAGCAGGCAGAGAATTTACTTTGCACACCGAAGGACCCAGATTCAATTCCTGGTGCCTCCACTCCTGCCTGAAAGCCTCTAGTGAGTCGCTGTTGTTGGCCAGAATACTGAGCTAGGTGGAACAAAGATCCAACTCTGGTTTAAAGCAGCCCGATGCTGGCTCAGACGATTTTTAATCTATCTAGCTGAGCATTGTCTGCAGGGGGAAGGCAATCGCACTGCCCATCACTCCATGCTTTGAACTGGGTGGGGACCCTGGACTTTACTGCATGCAAATGCCAAGCCTCTGTTCGAAAGCTACTGGCACAATGAATGAGAAACACGCTGCAACAGAAGCTAATGCGAAACCACCCAGGGCAACCTTCCATCAAGACAGACCAATGGCCCATCTAAACTCAGGACTGGCTACACCTCTCTGGGGTTTGGGGAGGGGGAACTTGGAAACGCCGGGGATTGAACCTGGGATCTCTTCTGCATGCAAGGCAGATCGCCTGTCGCACAGAGCTACAGACTTCCCCGGCTGCTCTTTGCCCCTGCTTTTTGGCCGTTTGAGCGCAAGCGCCTCCAAGGGGTTAACTAAGGGCGATCTGCCCTCCTGGCGCGTCCCCCTCCCCTCTCCCTGCCTGGATCCAGAGAGTTCACACTCGGGACAATAAAGAAATAGCAAGAATCCGCCGCGCCCCGTGCGCAGTGCAGCCATTGGCTGGCAGCGGAGTTCCGCGAAAGGCCACCCCTCGCTTTTGTTTTGTTTGCAGCCTGTTCCGGTTGGCATCGGGGTTGTGCAACCCGCGACTGACGCAGCAGAAAAGAACTGCTATTAAAACATTTGCCGGAAAGAGGGCTGGAGAGGGGAGAAGCCTGGGCGTTCCCCTTCGGGGTCAAGAGAGGGCAGCAGTGAGCAGCAGCATTCTCAGAATGGCTCATTCACATAATTCCCCCTGATATCGGCTTCCTGGTACCCGAAGGCTGCCTGACTTTCCCAGGTGGGACAAGACTCCGGATGCCCGTGAGTGCTGGACGCTCTGTGACACACTCGGTATAGGGTTAGGGGAGGGATGGCGAGCTTGTGGCAACCTCCCCCCAGCCAGACCAGCGTTGTTGGGCCGCTGCTGCAGTCACCTCCGACCATTGGGCAGCGCTAGCTGGGGCTGATGGGGAGTCGCAGCCCCCATGCTCGTTTTAGGTTCCAGCAGAGAAAATACTAATCATCAGGGTGTTCCTGTTGGGAGGAATCTTGATCTTGCCGGATCATCGCCCTCCTACATTTGTTTGCTTTTGGAGTATTCCAACACGGGAAGGCACAAATTTAACCCGTGGTAGTCCTGGCTCAAGAGTAGACCCACTGGAAACCATGCACATGACCAAAAAAAAAAGACTCATTCGCTTTAATGTGTCTACCCTGAGTCAAAATGAGTTGGCGACAACTCATTTAGGGTCATATAATAGTGCCCCCTCCCTCCTCGGGGTTGGCTTACTTCCTAAAACAGACCTCTGGGACAGTCTTCTAACCATCATTTTAAAAGGTTCAGTTTTAAGGACTGCTGACCAGCTCTTCACCCCACCCTCTCTCTTTTTAAAAGCCAATTGTAAGAACATCAAAAGAACTGGATCAGGTCATCACAGGGGGACACCCAGGCGCTCCAGTGGGAAGCCGCCGCTCCCCCCAGGACCTGAGTGCTACAGCAACTCTCCCCATCATTCAGGCGATATTTTTTTTTAAGCTACAATGTGACAGACTAGGCTGCTGTCCCTAAGAGGATCTTTAAATTCAAACCCTGAAGCTAATCCCAGAATACAGGAAGCGGCCCGGGGAGAAGGTGGGGTGGGGGGTGGTGAAGTCAGGAAAACAGAAATAACAAGGCAGTAGATTTCTTACCTGGGGTGCTCCTTCCGCTTTGTGGTGAAGCTTCAGCCGCTGAGTTTCCAAATATTGCTGAAAGGGCTTTTGGAGAGATGGGCCTACGCTGGGGACGGCGCTAGGTCGGGTCCCCCAAAAAGAGCAATTCAGGCAGAACATTGGAAAAGGGTAAAGCCGGGTTTGGGGGTGGGGTGGTGGGTTGAAGAGAGGATGGAAGAAAAATGCAAAAGAAGGAAAAAAACATTATTTAGGTGGGGTGGGGAAAAACTTACCGCCAAAATTCAAAATCACAGCTTAAGGAAGTGGGGGCGATCAAACCGGAGGCACGTGGAAGAACCACGGGTCTTTTGGGTTTTTTTTTAAAGAAATAGCACGTGGTTATCGGCTTTCCTGATGGTTTGGAAGTACAGAAAACTCTCCCCTCGCAAAAAATAAAAATAAAATTAGAGATAGAGAGAGGAAGGAAGAGACAGAGAAAGAGAAAGGAAAGAGGAAGGGAAAAAAGCCCAAATAGCAAATGTTTTGGGGCAGCCAAATGCCGGTTAGCTAGATCGGAGGCAGCAGAGAGAAGCTGGAGGTCTGAGGTTATATTGCTAACTGTTCTTCCTGAAAGCCAAGCCTGAGAGCGAGCTCAATGCCAGGAGTTCAAATGGAGTGACTTCTGAGAAGTCCCAACCATTTATCACCAAGGGTTCCTGTAAGAACTGGTTTGAACCGATTAGCAAGGAAATGACTTGGGCTTGTGTCATTCGCCCCAGTTTAAAAAAGAAACTGCCCGCCCCCCCTCCTCCCACCTCTGTGACTTGCCCCCATCGGCTCAAAAGGAGGCGGGCCTTTGCTCCAACCAAGTCCTTATTAGGACAATTCCTGCGTCATCCATCCATCTATCCATCCATTCTCTCCACCCCTCTTCACACACTCCCTGGTCCAATAAAATAAAATAAATGCATTAGCCAATTCCAAAAAGGCACCTCCCACCCCCCAAAAAAGGGGGGGGGAGAGAAAGAAGTCAGGCAATAAAAGGAGAAAGGAAAAAAAAGTGGCTGATTAACAAGGAACAAAGGAAAAGCTGTGAACTTTTCCTTCTTCTGAATCATTTCATACTTTATGGCCAATGACTCTGCAGGCAAATGATAGTTACGGAACACACCTTACCTTGGGAGGAATAAGGAAAACTGATTAAAAAAACACACGCTTTCCCAGATATCTCTGGTTTCCCAACAGGGTACGGCGTGGTGGAAAGGCTAGCTCTCAGTGCAGAAATGGCTATTTGCTTCTGAAAGTGGCAACTGAAGATCATCCAGGCAATATGTTTACAGGGATATAGGTGTGGATGGAGGGGAAAGGTGTCCCTCCATCACCTGAGTAGAGAGTGATGAAGAAAAGCTTGAAAGGTGGGGAGAAAGGAAGTCAGCCAAGGACAGTTTTGCCAGAACAAGGAGATGCCCTCAGAGGCTGATAAGTTCCATATGATTAGATAAATTCTCCAGCCTCTCCCCTCCCTGCAAGTACTGTATGTGCCACTGAAATCAGAAGGCCTTGCATGTGTTGTTTAGGATTAGGATGCTAAGCTCCCAGTTGAGAGCAGGTGGGTTTGGGCAGGGGTGGGGGAGGCAGCTTCAAATCCTGACTCGGCCACAATGCTCAGCCTCTCAAGCTTATCCTACCTCATAGGGCTGTCGAGGAGGATGAAACCGAGGGGGGAGCAGAAGGCAGGAGCCCCTGCACCCAGGCAACTAACTGAGCCTCCTGGAAAAGTGGCAGGATGTAAAAATGTAATCAGGAAATGAATTGAGAAGCTCTGCTGCTTTGTTCTTTTGAATGCAATTAAGACACTAAAGGCAGCACAGCGCTTTAAGAGGGCCGGCTCTGCCATTAGACACAATGACCATAACTCCACATACAAAAGCCAGCTGGGCTAGTAGTTAAAACTTGCTTCAACACTGGCCACAGGATAGCATGCTCCATCACAGCTGAGGGCAGAAGTCTAGTTGTGGGGGCACAGCTGCCTCCCTCCCACATTTTGGGGGGAAGTCCTCTCACTGTGTCTCACAGGCCATGCTAAAGCGATCTTCCCCCTCCCTTGAAAAGCGAAACAAAAAAGAAATCAAAGGAAAAAGCCCCTTTTGACAAGTTCTAGCTAAGAGGTGCCACAGAATGCGGTCAATATAATGTGCCCCAAAAGTGGGACCTAGCCCTTCTTCATTTTCCTTGGAGACAAGTTTTTTTTTTTAAGCCAACTAAAAATTAAATATTTTTTTCATTGCTCTTTTCCTGGGAAATATGAAAAGCGATAGACTATGCTAGTTATACTCGGTAGATCTAACAGCATCTCAAGTTCCATTGATTTCAACTGATGTATTCTGACTTAATTTGCTATCACCTATGTAATTTATGTACATTTCTCCAGTTTGGATCTACTGATCCATTTGGAAAGTTTCAAGCAACTCTTATCTTAATGCACATACATGTATTTTCCTTTAGGGGTTAAATCTGTTTTAAATAAAAATTATCCTTGCCAAAGCTGCTGTTCCCCTGAATTTATACTGCATTCTTCATCAGTCCTTAAAAATCTAGTTACCTGAAGAAGTTATCATCTAGCTATGGCTATGTCCATGTTAATCACATTCAAAGCAAACTGGATGCAACCCATGATTTTTAAATTTTACCATACAGTAAAGTACTTGGTTTAAATATATATATATTTTCAAGGACTGGACAGTGAACACAGTTCAAACTGGGAACCAGGTTTGGTAGTGGTATATTTTCCTTTATAATTAAAAAACATTTTCTCCCCAAGGTAATGTGATTAAGGTAAAAATTATGTCAGCTTAGGAAAGTCTGCAAAACCAAAGGGAAGACTCATCTCCCTGCTATGATTGTGCAGAATGACTCGTCCAGCAAAAACGAGTCACCGTATTCTCAAAAATCACACTCGGGTTAAGATTTCAGATGACACAGAAGTCCAACAGAGAAAAGAGCTTTTGAAAAGGTAATGCTTTTGCTTGAACAAACCTGCATTAGGTAGGAAATACTTAGATGGTGAGAGTTGAATGACTGGCAAAAGAAATTATTCAGGTCTTTTTAATTGCAAGAGCCGATATCCATTTGCCATCAAAAGTTAATTGCTGAACAAAGTTCGCATTGTTCAGGATTGGGTGGGTACATTTTCTTCCTGATGCTCAGTTTTATTCTCTCTCTTTTTTATATCCCTTTTCCCGTAACAGAAAACGGCGCAGAATGACAACCTTGTAAATCCATTGCACAGTATAAATTTTATTAAGTTATTCTGTGGTCTTTCGGGAGCTGTTTATGAAATTACACAACTGAGTGTTATCTACTGAAAATTTACAGCTTGTCCAGGAAATGTACACCATGCGTTTTTAATACAGAGGAGAATTTTTATTTATTTTAAATGTTTAAAGGCTATAGCTTCTGCTCACTCAGTTTGATTTAAAAAAAACCCCTCTGCAATTAAGTTTGGTTTATTAATTAGCATTTTGCATACTTATTCTTCATTTATGTAAGACTCTTTCAGAATGTCAAAAGGGTTAGAAACCGAAACTGAGAACAGCTGAAATGATTTTCCCATTATCCAATTAAAAGGGAACAAAACAACACATTATGGAATTTGAGTAAAAACTTTCTAGATGGCATGGGTTTTATTAAAGTCAGTCAACAGAGGATCTGAAAGATGTGTCCTCCAAAATGTGCATTTGACCAATATATATACCAAAGTGATGCCCTTACTATTATTACCATTATTCCACCATCCATGTGCATTACGCTTTATAGAGTGGAAGAACATAGGTCCTTGCTTCAGCTACTGCTTCAGTCAGTGACAGATATTTCAGGTATTATTTCAAGAAATCTGCCTTTGCCTGGCACGGACAATGACCGCAGCGGTGTCAATGTGTTACACTGCGCCTTTTGTTGGGCAAAACTGCAGAGTAGTAACATAGTTCTGGCTTTCTAGATTCAAAAAATAAAAATAAATACTGTACAGCAAGGCTTACTACCCAGGGCTACTATCCATGCAGTGTAAAAATAAATAAATCTCAACTTCTACAGATTTTACTTTTTAAATAGTAGCTTATCTTAAAAGCAAAATAAAATTAAAATTGGGGGGGGGTGTGTGTTGTCCCTATAGGTTACTGAAGTGCCAATCCTATACCTACTTCCCTGGGAATGAGCCCGATTTAATTCAATGGGACTTATTTCTGAGTAGTAGGGTCATACTGTCAGAGCAGCCACTGTGTTATTACAACCCTGATGGTGGATATGAATGAATAGCCATAAGCCCTGAGAAATTCTTATGATCAAAATTTTAAACATCCCTAGAATTATTAATGAATTAGCTAGGAGTCAGTTACTGGATTTATATATAAAGAATGACCCAGGTCAGCTACTAACAACAAAGGCAAATGTATATCTAAAAAGCACAAAGGAAAAAAAAGGAAGTAAAAATTATGGTGTTCCTTGAGAAGGATGTTCCAAACTCACCTTAAATTTCGCTTTAGAAGAAACTGTGACAACTGGCTATAAATGTGTAAGGTATTCCTATAGTAGATTTTTTTAAAAAAGTATTCTTCTTTACTACAATAAGTGTTTGTAAAGTATGCTCCTCACTGGACTTTTTTTTTATTTTGAATGATGAATTGGAATAAAATTTATGCAATTAAATGAAGTACTACGACGACTGTTAACTGTTTTACAATGCAATCCTGTATGTAAATTGAGGCCAACGGGACTAATTCTACATGCAACACTTTCTTAGAAAAAGGAAATCAAGGATTACAGCCTCGATTTCCTTTTTCTAAGAAAACCAAGAGTGTGTGATTCAAGTACTTCTGATCCCCACGGAACAGAGTGGGCAACCCTAATTTTACCTTTCAATTTGATGGAACTTAACTGGATTGTGCCTCAGCTTAATTTATTTCTGTTACACTCAAGTGATATGAGATACCTAGTCACCACTCAATGCCGAAACCTCTGAAATTAACTGGCATGTCTGAATGTATTGGATCATGGCCACTGTTTGCTAAAAGCTTAATAAAACCTAGATTTTAAAAATACCTTTAGCCACCCTGATTTTATGAAGACAGATGGGAGTATAAATAAAATACAATTTGCAGTTTAATTTCTTGTACTTTTTTGTGTTTGTGCTTCAAGGCTGCTACAAGTACTAAATCCAGTTAAATGACCAAATAAAAAAATGGGAAATGTACATTTTGGCTCACAGAACATTTCATATTGTGAAACGTAACAATGTGCCAGTGATGGTGGTTATGATTTTAATGTATAATCTGTTTTCAGGATAGCTACCATCACCCAAAATGTGCCCTTTGAGGGGGGGAAATCTGTTCTGATTACTGTCATCTGAACAAAAGGACACATTTCTATCAAAAAGGCTGGAAACATTGGTAGTGTATTTAGTATCTAAAAACTGTTTTGTCCATCATCGCAACAAATTTTATTTGAAATTGCTTATACAGTACTGCCTTTTGGCACTAAGTATCCAATTTTGCATCCAATTAAAACAGTTTCATAAATAGCTGGGCAGATCAGAATTGGAAAAATATTATTTACAGTCTCTAGTCTTTGAAGACGATTTGTTAATATCACCTTCACAGCCGTTAAAACTAAAAAGCCACTATGCTGAAAGTTAAACATTTTGCATGATGCGTGGATTTCAGTGTGACAGTTAAAAACATGCTTTATTCCATTAAAATCAGTGGGATTGAAACTCGACAGAATCATGCTATAATCATTATTGCCTTTATTACATTGATATCCACCCTTCTCCCAAGGAGCTCAAGAAAGCATACATCATCTCTTCATTAATCTCACAATAACCCTGCAAGGTAGGATAGGCTGAGTGAGTCAGTCTGGCAGTGGCACAGAAACTTCATGGCTGAGCAGAGATCCTAACCCAGATATCCCACAGCCCAAGTTTCTAGCGCAGTGAAATGTGCCCTTCCATCAAACCCTCCTCTGAACAAATGAAGCACTATTACAACTGACACTCCACCCTAGTGGGATCAGCACCCCTTTCCTCACTGACTCGATATTCCACATTTTGACAACGTCCCGAGGCAATCATCTCTGACCATTTCTCCCCTTGCACTTATAAAATCAAAATCCCATCTGCATTGGGGAACCCTGTACTCCAAGCTCCAAAGTTTGCGTAAAGGTAAAGAGACCCCTGACCATTAGGTCCAGTCGTGGACGACTCTGGGGTTGTGCGCTCATCTCGCTTTATAGGCCAAGGGAGCCGGCGTACAGCTTCTGGGTCATGTGGCCAGCATGACTAAGCCGCTTCTGGCGAACCAGAGCAGCACACGGAAACACCGTTTACCTTCCTGCCGGAGCGGTACCTATTTATCTACTTGCATTAGACATGATTTTGAACTGCTAGGTGGGCAGGAGCTGGGACAGAGCAACAGGAGCTCACCCCATCGCAGGGATTCAAACCACCGACCTTCTGATCGGCAAGTCCTAGGCTCTGTGGTTTAGACCACAGCACCACCTGCGTCCCTTAGAGTTTGCACAGTACATGGTATTGCAGGAATATGGAAGCATCATCAAAATTTCAACTACAGAAGTACACAAGATAACTTTTAAACAGCCAATTATGTGTATTACAAATCTCTGCTATGCTTCGGGAACAACGAACACTTCTCTATTAAGAATTTGGAACTGGTCACTGTTTGGCTAGGAACTGGACCCTGTTCTTTATTCTAACAGCCAAATGGGTCAACGATCTTACATTGCCCGGCGTCCCTTTTCTTAATAAGCAACAGACAGAAACCGGTTCCAAATTGTTTAATAGCGCAGTCCTAAGTGCTAAATATAGTTAAGCTCCTCGGTCTTTTCTTTTACAAGCCAGATGGCCTGGCCTGTCCAGAATTCATTGTACTCCGGACTAACGCTTCTGGACATTTCTTGCCAGCTTTCGCGGACAAGGAAGCACATGTTGCATTTAAGGATGCTGAACATCCTTCAAGCAGCCGGCCGAATGCACTTCTGAGAGCTGCAGGTTGCTGTTGTTTTTGGTTGTTGTTTAAAAAAAGAGGGAAAGTAACTAGCCCTCATGAGGAAGGACAGCTTAAGGAGATGGCGATGGCGTATTTGAAAGCCTCAAAGTAAAAAGCAGTGGTTGGTTTGCCATTCCAGTATTTGGGTGGGATTTTTCTGTGGCGTTCTGTCTCGGGCACCACAAGCCCTTGCGCTCCTACTTCAGAAAATTCTCATGCTCTAAAGCAGTGGTTGTCAACTTTTGCAGACTCTGGATCTGTTTTTAAACTCCATGCAGCAACATAGGACTGAATCTCTCCCTCTCTCTTCTGTCTAACGTTTCCTCTCCTGTTCCGACAATTTCTCGCCATTTTCTCCTCTCTGTTCCATCCTCCCCTCTCCCTCACCCTGGCTGCCTCTATCCATCAACCTAACACTTTCTAGTCTCTTCTCTTTCTCCATCAGCCGTGGTTCACAGTTCCTAAAACCACTGACAAAAGTGTGCATTGAAAAGCATTCTGTTCAAACAACAGTTCATCTACCAATTCTGAAAGTTTTAAAAAGAAGGTAACTAACCTACAGCAGACAAATATTGAGCCCCTGTCCCCCTATCCATTGGGAAAGAGGTGCTAGAAGATTTCAACTAGGGGAGTTAAGTAGGTGACTAGTACAGTGGTACCTCGGGTTACATACGCTTCAGGTTACAGACTCCGCTAACCCAGAAATAGTGCTTCAGGTTAAGAATTTTGCTTCAGGATGAGAACAGAAATTGTGCTCCAGCGGCGCGGCGGCAGCAGGAGGCCCCATTAGCTAAAGTGGTGTTTCAGGTTAAGAACAGTTTCAGGTTAAGAACGGACCTCCGGAACAAATTAAGTACTTAACCCGAGGTACCACTGTACCTGCTTTCCCCTCTGTTCACACAGAACAGTTTTGAAAGTGAACAGAATGATGGCAGGGGCTGGAGATGATGAATGAAGGGTCTCCTTTCCAGTAGTGGCTGGTGTGATAATGTAGAGCTGCAGAGCCACCCTCCTGAAACCAGCTTACCTGGACAGGTCAGGGCAGTGGCGAGGCTGGAGATGGGCGAAAGCATGAAATCTAGCAGCACATCAGCCACGAACGGATTATCACCCTCCTCCCATACAACCACAGAGAAGGGAGGTGTGTGTGTGAAAGCGAGTTAGATTGGCATCTTGGCTCTTTGCTTGCCTCTTTGTTTCTGATACAAAAGGAAATACCTCACTCTTAAGCAGACCGCTGGCCCATCGGGCACTGAACAGCCGACTCTACTTGTAAGTGTTTTTTATTCCCAGGCAGGGTCTTTCAAGACACACGTTTGCATATGGTTTGCATGTGCATCAATGCAAATTTAGGGAACCAAAGGTAAAAGGTGCCTGCAAGCTATTTTTTAAAATAAAGAGGAGGATGATTGGGGGCACACTGCAAAAGACCCTGGGCTCAGACCTCCACAGGTCCCCCACCCCTAGACCTTGGTCTCATCCAACAAGGTACAGTGGTACCTCAGGTTAAGTACTTAATTCGTTCCAGAGGTCCGTTCTTAACCTGAAACTGTTCTTAACCTGAAGCACCACTTTAGCTAATGGGCCTGCTGCTGCTGCTGTGCCGCCGGAGCACGATTTCTGTTCTCATCCTGAAGCAAAGTTCTTAACCTGAGGTATTATTTTTGGGTTAGCGGAGTCTGTAACCTGAAGCGTATGTAACCTGAAGCGTATGTAACCCGAGGTACCACTGTACTTTTAAAGATTGCCTGAAGATATGCATACAAAGTATGTAGTCAACACCCAGCTCTGCCATTCCTCCCAATACCTCTTTTAGCCAGCAGTTCCCCACTTAATTCTGCAAAACCACAAGGACTAGAAACCTGAGTGCCAGTGGGCAGCAGAAAGCAGGTATCGTATTCCCAGCCCCAGGCCTATTAGTTTTTGCCATGGTGGTGCCGGGGAATTAGACCTCGCAACCTTGAGGCTTCTTCCTGGCTCTCCCTTTGACAACCTGAGTGAGTCAGGACTGCAGGCGTCAGATGTGGCCAACGGACTCTGCTCCCTTTGAAATGGTATCGCAGAAGCAGATCGTTGAAACATGTTACCTCGAAGGAAGGAAGGAAGGCGCCGTAAGGTGATGTACATCATGCAAACTATACGCAGCAAGATGCACATTGATCGGTGACTTAAGAATGAGTCACATATCTCATCTCACAACCCTGCTCTGGAAGGAGAAACAAAGACGTGAGGAGTAAGAAGGGGTGTCTGCGCAGGCTTGCTAAATGCCCTAGTGATGCTCTTGGCTGTGTACATTTACATCTTCATTTAAAGCACTAGTCCAGCATCTTGATCTCACATTAGTCAGCCGGATGCCTGTGGGAAATCAGCAAGCAGGATTCGACCACAAGAGCACTCTCCCCTCCTGTGGTTTCCAGCAATTGGTATATGGCTTCCTGGGAACCGTAGTTCACACCTTGTAGAGCTACGATTCCCAGCACCCTTACACTACAGTTCCCAGGATTTTTTATTTTTTTTTTAGTGGGGGAAAGCCATGGGTTTTAAACATGGTGGGTACACATCCTTCGCTTAAAGATACGCCGTGATGGGAATGCCAGCGGGGACATTCTCGCTGAAAATGGCAAGCCTGTTTTGCAAGCGGAAGATCCAATCCCTAGTATCTCCAGGTAAGAGTAGGAAAGACTCTCTGGCTGATCCCAGAAATCTGTTGCCTGTAAGTGAGACTGTGCGGGGGGTCGGGGGGGGGGGAAGAGACCCTTTGGCTACATCAGGCTCCCCACCCACTGTAAATGATAAATGAGCTGGATGGACCAATGACCTGACTTGGCTGAAGGCATGTTCCAACTTTTCACTTAGAACCATGAGGACTAGAATCATAATTTATTTTTAGGGGACGGAACGCAGCTCGGTGCAGAGCACCTGCTTTGCAACGCAGAAGGACTCTGGCTCAATCTCCAGCACCCCCAGTTAAAAACTAAGGAGGTGATTGGAAAGCATTCTGCTTCCTCATGGAGCCACATGACCCGGCTCTGTATACC